AGAACTTTTACTGATAAAGTGAGTTAGAGTCTCAAATCATTAGGTCACCTAGATCTCAAAATTTTGCGAGGCTAGTAGCTGCAAATGGCCGTTCAAAGGCTTTTCTAGATAAAGACACGATATCGCTTTGTGTTTTAGACCAGAGAGCACTAGGCGAAATGGTTTTTGTCGTTTGCGCAGTGCGAATTAATTTCACGTTTGATTGAACTCTTCAACAACCGAACTGGTTCGTAGGTACTGAGATCTTGCTGAAGTTGGAAATCATGCGGGTTATCGGTTAGACCGTACTACGCGCGGCTATGGTAATCAACGGGAGACTTCAGAGATTGGGACCGCTGTTTCTGGAAGTAGATAGGGGATCGCATTATACTGAGTGAGTACGGCAAATGCTTAAAGTGTGGGGGGGAGTGCAGCAGCAGCAGCGGCCGCCCCCGTCGGAGGTAAACCGAAGTATGGCGGCGTTCGTGTTGGGCGCACACAAACAACTTGCTAATGAAATCGTTAATCGAAAGCGTCCAAGCCCTTTCTGTAATTGTCATGTTACGGGGTGAGGTTAGAAAGGCAGGTTTTGTGCGAGGAGCCAGCTGCTCCGTAGTCGTCCTCATCGACAGAGGTATGCGATGAGTTTAGATCTTTCTTGTAAGAGACAGTTAAGAGTAATTGGAAATGTACCTAGTTAAATGAAGCAGGGGACCTCACTGTGTCACGATATCCTCATTGATGAACTGTAGCGTGTCAGGCTGTCTGTTGATGCACAGAAAACGCTCTCAGCTTAGCTCTACAGCTGCTAAACGTTGTGCCTGTTTCAGCTACTTGTTAAATGTTTTTGGATTCGCAGGAATAGACGGGGGAAGGAGAAGGCGGATTAATTAGGTTTCATCGAGAAAGCTGAACGCCCTTTAAGGTGTCGGAAAGATCGGATAATTGGCAGATGATTAGGCAGATTTTTTTAAAATAAACTGGTAAAATGCTGGAACTATCAGCCTATTTAATTTTGATCGCTGGAGGTTCCCAGTAAGCCGAAAGTTAAACTGCAAAAGATTGTAAATAAACTTATTATTGGTTCCGATGAGAATGTGGCTGAAATGTTCTACATTACACAACCTCAGGTGAGGTTATCTACGGGCGCCATATTATCAAAATTTAAAGATCGGGGATTACGTTATAGGAAACAAAATCTATTGAGGAATAATCATCCTTACTAATTATTACGAACTGGCACAATACATATCAAATATTAGTCGTATTATCAAAAAGTGCACAAGGTAGATACAGCTCCACCGAAATACAAGAGCAGCATTGTGTACCAATTAATGTCCATATTTCTCATTAAAATACGGATAAGTGGGCTTACATACAGAACACTGGGATTCTACGAAATGGGTATTTCGTATTGCTTTTGTTAATATAATTTTATTGCATATTTATTAGAACCCGATCTCCTCATCCGGACAGCGCATTTCTACGTGTCATAGGAATTAATAGCTCATTGTTTTATATATATTTGCTGTTTCCTCGATGACGCTAAATCACCATGACTTTTTTATTCTAGTACTCCGCTGTTGGTACAGTATAGCTCATACAACTGTTATTAATGCGGGTGCAGCTTGTACGATCACTTTTAGTGGCCACTGTGGCCAGAGCGTAGATTCGTTCGTAGAGCTAGCTTCCGTTCGTTCCTTGTATGTAAGCCATTGCCCTGGAGAGCTCATCACGCGCAGCTCAGAGGTCGCGCAAACATTGGCTCTCAGCCGATAACGAGCAGCCGGCTGGTCGGCTGGCGGGTCACGACGATATGGGTAAGACGTACGCAGAGGGACGCTAAAGGGATCTAAGATCTTGGGAAAAGAAGGAAAAGATAGGATCCCATGTCGGCTGCGGACTTGATGGACGCGGTTGCTGGGACGGGCGAGCATGGATGAGCTTGGGGGAGGACAGGCGGAAGCGCTCCCTTGTCAGATTCCTATACGCAGTGAAGCAAAGCCTCAGTAAGCTTCCCTAACCCATGATACGCTACCACCGTTCTGCCCTTCCTCCCACCCAACTCTTCTTCTGCCTTACGAACTTTCTCATAGGCTTTGTTGGAGCTCCAGCTCTGTTAATGATTCACGAGCGACCGCCAACGAGGTCACTGAAGGAGAGTTAGGAATACTTCGAGCACCGAAAGGTTGGAATAGAAAGAAAAGATCCCCTGCGAAACCGGTGCTTGAGCTACGATAAACGGCGCATAATTTTGTAGTATTGAACCTTTGGTGTGTTGAAATAAACTTTATAGGTACACACGTCCATGCGTAGCACACTTCTTACACAAGTCTGTATGGGGCGAATCTGGCAATACCGATACCAGCTTTAAGACCCCACTGCCTATAGAGGTAAGAACTATTTTATCGTCACGTATTACACAACAGTTAAACACTATTAATATGTTGATATCGATACAGGATAACAATGCTACCTTGTACATCTTAGACATAGGCAAATCGTACGAATCAGGTCGTAATCTAAGGTGTGCTGCATTGTGGTAAAATCACGTTCGCCACTACTACCGTATTGCGGTTCACTGAACACAGCTTCGACTAACCGAAGCGCCGCTGTGGTTCGTTCGTACCTGTCGCTTGGTCGGTCGGCGACAGTGAAGGTTGGGACACAACAAACGAGAATAAGAATATGCCACGCGCGCTACCAATGTTCGTCGTCCAACTCTCAGCTGAAGGGACGACAGGAGGAGATAGAAAGGGGAGGTCTCGCGCAACTGAGAAAGGACGAGAAGACAGAAAATAGCGGAACATCGAGCGGCAAAGCCCACGACCTCACATGAAGCTTTTCAAAGGAGTCAGTAGCAGCAGTGCCGATCGTTGGCAGCGAGCAAAAAGTTGTTCGCCCTGAGGCCACCGCGACGGGGCCATGAGGCATGCAAGAAGCAGGCTGGAGGGCGTGCGACCAATCTTATTCTATTCCCCTAACTAGTTCAAGTACCTGCATGGGTGCTGTATCTATATGTCCGTTTTCTGTTCGGTCTTGCCCGTTGATTGCTTCACCCCAATACAGCCCAACTCAGCTCCAATATAACCTTACTGATATTGCGGCTGAAATGAGCAGGTCGCCTAGCGTCGGGCGTTCCTTATGGTTGTACGTAGCGAAAGCGGCAGACGGCAAACCGAGGTTGAGACCAGCGCTCCCCACTACTCTTCCTATGCTAGAATGAATTGCAGTTAGTTTTACTCCGCTTTTAACCGAACTTCTCAGCAGTCGCTGCCGGAAGCCTGATCGAAGGCGGGCAATGTCTGTCTGACCTGATTGGATCGAACGGAACGCCAAGAGTTTCGCCGACCTATACCCCTCGGCGCTATTCTACTCGTGACCTGGCAGAATTCAACACGACGCGAAGCAGACTTGGGCAGGCAGACAGGTAGCAATACCAGCAAAGGTACACAAAGCCTCTAACTAAGAAAAGGAACAACAGAAGCAAACTGTATATAGTAAGGGGAAGATGTTTTCACCTTCTTGCCCCCAATGAATGACAGTCTCTTTTTGTCAGTAAAGAAAATTGATCTTGCCCGCCCTAATGAGCAACGTATGGGCATTTTGAATTTGATCAAACAAACCTTATTAATAAAAAGAAAGTTGAATTTCTGAAATGCCAGACAGCATATCGTTATATGGGTATATTAGGGACAAACAAGAGCCACAGGCCAACAACGTTTTTCACGTTCCTTGTTGGTCACTGCTAAAAACTTGATAGTTCCTTTAACACCACTGAGCGACAACAATGACGTTGACAAGGGTGTTTAATCAGGCAACAAAGAGAAAACATTGTACATAATAGGTATTATCTTCAGATCGATGCGAATCACCTAACAGTCTGTATTTTTCGACCGGTTGGCGCTGACTTGATCCTAATAATATTACAACAGGTAAATTAGCTAAACCGAGAAAAATTCCGTTTAGTGGACGTCGAGCCACAAGGGTTACATCAAAGAAAACATCAGTCTAAAGCTTGTATGTAAAACCTTGTTCTGATGATCGTCATAAGTCAGTCATCAGTGAGGTCAAACGAGTTGGGCGTGGTAAAGCCGACTCGTGTAGGATGCAGCGACGACATAGAGGTTTTCACATTTACCCGCAGCAAGCCTATTGTACAATACGATTCAGTCATGCGAACGTCTGAAACATATCCACCAGGAAAATTTCACAGTTTCAACATGCCCGATTGTATGAGAAATCTATTCGCCTAACACCTTGTTGATGTAATGTCGAAGTTGCTGTATCCACCTCACGAAACAGACAAAAATATTAATAATATATAACGAAACACTGACCTATCGAAAGAGGTGAACAAAAAAGACCTTTGTTACATGCTTCATAACAGACTCCAAACTTCCATAGAGAATACACCATTCAAATTTTGCCGCGTTTGAATGATAGTTTGTTGAACAAAAATCAACGTGCGCACCAATTTTCAATTGTCCAAGATTTTCGATCTTTACTGAAACCGGTAGTTTGGCCGGTTACCGCTACAGTATTGCTATACACAAACATGTTTATGTTCTAGGCAGCACCGAACAGAGCTATAAAGCGAATTCTAAATAAGAGTTAATCGTCATACGATTGATCAGCATGCGATCCTAAGAAGGCTAGAATCGATACATAGTCGAGTACCCGATTCATAGGCACTGAGGCTAAGTTTGTCGCTGTAGTCAGCTCAAATCAAGCTGAGTTGACGTCTCACGTTGATTCACTTAAAACAGCAAGTTTAAGGATAAGTTAACTGTTGACCTGACATTACGCTGAGAGAATCTCTGTATTACTTAGATGAAAAATCGTCAATAAGTATTTTCCGATCTTTAGGGCGTTCTGCCTTTACCTTGTTTAGTAAACGAAGTAAAGAAAGCTTTCGAATTTACTTTATAATCGATGAGTGCGCATAGCTGTCTCTCTATCAATTATGTCGTAGCCCCATTTGAATTAACAGCCTGGCAGTAGCTCACGGAGAACGAAGTTACTCAGTTGGTTGAAACCTGCGATTGCTATGCCCCAGCCGATGTTGACAGACGGAATCCCACTGGATGGTACGTGTTGAGTTTACAGTCGTTTGAAATGGCGCGGGCATGTTTTTTCAATAGAGAAAAATCTCTTTTTGTGTGAAATGATCACACACCATTCGGAATCAGCGCATGTAATTTTTTTCATTTTTACTCCTTTCCTCAATTTCCATCTAATACTTCTTGAATCAGTATTAGATGGAAGTTCAGTTTTTAGCTTCGAGTTGTATAATTGGCGCAATTTATAAGTTTGTTTCTGTTTGCTCTAGTCTCTATAATATTGTTAAGATCCACGCAAATGATGAACAATGTGTTATGGTGGAACTCTCACGTTATCCATGTACCTAAAAACGTGTACGTAGCGCGAGTATTGCGCGTTTTCGTAGTTTTTTCTGCTCAAAACCAAGTTGAATTTGTCGTGGACAGTGATCAACTTGGTACATTAGTCAGGCGATCATATATA